GCACTGCTGGGTCTCTAAATCCTTTCTTAGCAAGCATCGCTTCATCCGCCCCTTCCCTCTCTCTTTTTTTCCCCTTCACATCCAACCCTCGCGCCGTGGGCATGGACCAACTTCACCTTACTCACTCTTTGGCCGACGCTTTCAACGCTCTTGCTGACGAGGTTCAGATCCTGGCTGATCGAAAGACCGTCCTCGAGCACAAGCTACGCTTTGCCCATGAGCAGGTAAGCCTGGCATATGCCGTCTGGTTGCATTGTTCGTTACTCCGACCCCAAAGCCTTTGGTCATACCACCACCAGGAAGCTTTGCTTGGCAGCGCCAACACGCCTCCGGCATGCATTGCACAAGCTGCCCTCACTTTCCCATTCACCAGAACTGCTGGTTTGCATTCGTCGTTGAATCAACATGATGAGATATCATTAGCTCTAGATCAAGAGCAGCTGGCTACAGCCTGACTGCCGAGACTGACACCATTTGACTCTGATATTTTTTTCTCGACGTCATTAGTCTATCCCCACCTACCACGCGCAGCCTTACAGCATCATTGTAATCAAACTGACATTCCTCTCCTCTAGTTTCAATATTTGGCGGACAAATATGCCGCTGGAACGCCAGAAATAGCGGAAACGCTGGCCAAACTACAGCTCCCACCGCACACTTCCGTCGACGACACTTCGCCCGTTCCCCTTCCGCAGCGACGCTCCACTCCCCAGCCTCTACACCAGATTGCTGTCATCATCCGTGACGGACGCCGAATGGCCAGCAAACTAGTTGCACTGAGTTCTTCGAGCAAGACCACCGGCTCTAGCCGAGAGACACTCTCCCGCACTTCTCAAGACGAGACCTCCATGTCCACCGCCTTGGAACAGGACTTCACAGTCGAAGGGAAGAAGGGCAATCTGCAATGCCCCTTCTCCAAACGGGTGTCGGTCAGCGGCACGAATGATGGCGAGAGCAGACCGAGCGTCGACCACACGCCTCACAGCTCTGCCGACCCTATTTGTGCTGCCATGTTCGAAGAGGCCACTTCACAGCCTGCCCCGAATGGCACCTCCTCCAAGTGCCCAATCCGCTTCATGGACAAGCATTCTCCCGAAGAGATTGCACACTATGTGGAGACCCACAAGCATGAGCTACCGCGCAGTCATGAGGTGTGCTTGCGTCGATATCAACGCAACGAAACACAGATCAAAAAGCTCGACTCCAAGTATGGCAACATTGTGAGCATGATTGAGGGGCTCAGCCAGCTACATCAACCCATGCTCCCGGAGTCGGAGGAGCAGTTGCAACAACGCGACGCAGGAGATGGCGATTCCAACGTCCGAGTCGAAACCTGGGCACAGGCTGTGAGCGGCACCGCCGAATCCGATGCCAGCGAAGAATTGCCCCCACTAGATGAAGACCGCCAGAGCCACTTTGATCGCCCACTAAAGGAAGTTCGCGTTGGAGAGTCACCCAGTCGGCCATGGGGTATCTCAGTGCCCATCTACGAGCTTTCAGGTCACGAAGATGAACATCCTCTTTCGCCGCCGCCAGCGCCTGTCAGGATGTCAACCGCTGTTCATGACCATGTACCACCAGCTGCCACGAATGGAGCTGGTAAATGTCCCTCTGATCATTCAAAGTTTTCCGCCGGCTTTGCTGGACCACCGCCATCTACTCCAAAACCCGAAGAAAAGCCCAGTGAACCGGTACAAGGTCTTGGGCTCGGGGACACGCCTTTCACCAACTTGAAAGAGGCACCACCTACCACCACAGGGCTTCCACCCCAACCAACCTTTATCAACCCAGCCTCCACGCATGCTGAGGGTAGCAGGGGGCCGCAGATGGTCTTCACCGGGCCAGTCTTCATTGGATATCCCATGGAACAGGCTATTGAATTTATGAACCGCTATCGAGGACCTCAGTGAGGTCATTTCGTTTGATGCTGCGTTTGATTTTATGCTAGCGACTTTATATCACCTGTCTTTTTTTTTTTTTTTCATTTTGCAAGCGTCGGCGTTTTGGCTTTTGTGCCTCAGAGCAGGGAAATGAGTATGAACACTAGGAATCATTTGACGGATGGGGGAGTTGCAGGCGGGATATTGTGCGAATTTGCTTCGAAGACTAGGACTAACGAAGGGGGCTACTGGCGCACTCTGATTTTCATGATATCACATGATCTATATTTTTAACCTAGACGCTTTTGCTCCACGGAGCCCCTCTATGATAGTAATAAATCCACAGGAAAATGTGGATACAAACAATACACTATTACACGTATATTGCAACGATTGTTGTTGTAGAATTCAAATGGGCTCGAGCAAACTCGCCTGAGCCAAGAGACCCTGTTTCCCACTGAAGTGATGCATTACTCAACCATCTAGTTTGTGTAAAGGCCCGCCAAAGAAGAAAAAAAAGTCACATATTCTGAACAGTTGCCTCCACCCTCAACGGCGGTTCTAGTTGTATCTCGTTTGACACGGGAAAAGAGGCGGTGCTCTTATCTATTGGGCTTACGGCTGCTGTCGTCGTCGCCGTCGTCAAAAGTGCCCCAGGCGTTTTCTTGCGCGCCCCAAAGCGACACGTCGTCACCTGACATGATGGCCGCTGCGTCCTCGGAGTCCAAGAGCGTGGCGTCGGTGTCGTCGGTGTCGTCGTAGCGGCCGCTCCCTTGCTCAACATGACCAATGTCCTGACCCTCCTCGAGGGCGAGTTCGGCAGCGCGAGCCATGGTGCGGCGGTAGATGGCGAGGCCGACGGCTAGACCGATGATGCCGCCGACGGCCATGCCGATGTAGTTGACGGCCTTGTCGCCGGCGGTCATCTTGTCGCCTTCTTCGGCGAGGACGGCCAGGCGGCTGCCGATGAAGACATGGATGAGGAGCTTGGGACTGTCAATAGTAGATGGTTAGCTGGGGTGACGAGGGCTACTACACAGGGGGCGACACGAGGAGCGGAGGAACTTGCGTTGACAGAGCCGTGGAAATTGCAAACGACAGCGGGGTTATGCTTGGGATTGTGGCCAGGAAGCCGTTGCTCAGGCTGAAGGGCAACGGGCAGAAGCGGATAGCGGTCAGGTAGAGGATGCCGTCTCGGCGCAGGACCTGGCCCAGGGCGATGAAGCGGTGGTCCTTGCCGACCATTCGGTCAACGTATCTGCTCAGGACGGTGCGGCTGGCGAGGAAGGCGGCGAGGCTGCCGAGCGTGCAGGCCACGGCGGCGACGGGCCACCCGTTGGGGAAGCCGTACACGAGACCGGCGATGGTGTTGGCGGTCGAGTACCCGATGAGCGGGGGGAAGGCGGTGACGAATATGAGGGCAAAGACGATGAGCCAGCCGCCGGGGAGCTCGCGCCACGACTTGGCAACGGGCGTCAGCCAGCTGAAGAAGCGGTGCGAGTAGACAATGGTGAGGACGATGAGGGCCCAGCCGAGGAGGCAGCCGAGGACGGCGAGGACGCGGTACAGCGGCGACAGGCTGAGGTAGTACTGGATGAGCCAGCGACTCCAGTCGAGATATTTCCTCCAAGCTCGCTGGAGGAGCGTTCGGGGTGCGCTTGACGAGCGGGCGCGCAGCATGGCGTTGGAGAGGCGGCGCGACGGCGAGAAGCTGCGGCGCGACCAGCGGACGGGCTCGGGGGAGGCCCTGGCGGAGGAGGAATTGGATGGTGGCGATGGCGATGGCGATGAGGATGATGATGATGGCGGCGGTGGTGGTGATGGCGAGGACGATGGGGGCGACGTGCGCCGCGGCTGGTTGGCCGGCGAGTAGCCCGAGGCCATGGTGCGATGGAGTTTGTGCGGGATCGAGGCGATACGGCGGATGGGAAGAGGCTACGGTTGCATGATGTGGTGGTTCTGGTGAAGGCCAAAAAAATACTTGGGTCGATGCGGCGGCCGCTCGGATGTTCGGTGATGCGGCGGAAGTAGTACTTCGTGGGTCAATGGGTGGCGGTAGCAAGTTAACACATACTACTACATAAATGCTCAGGGGACGGACCAAGATGGATGGCTCGACAAAAGCTTTCCTGGTGTTGCACAATAATGACTTTGGTGGTTTTTTTGGCAATGCAGAGCGAGACGCGTGGCGATGGAAGGTGTGTGTTTCACAGGCTGATTTGACGGATGACCCAAGACTGACGTTGGGTCAACTGGGCACAAGGGGGGTTTGGGGGGGTGTGACGGCGTGAGGCTTGAGCCTGGTACCTTCTCAGCTAGCAATCAAGCGAACCAGCGGGTGAGTGGCTCCGAGTCTAAGCAGCCCTGCCCCACTTGCTCTGCCTGCTTCGGCTGCTGCCGGCGTCTAGAAAAAACTGGTATTGTTTGTGGTGCGACAGCACTTTTTGCCTTTCGGTTTGGTCATGGCTCGGCTCAACAGGCGGCCATGGTGCGCTAAAAAACCATTCCGACAACGTCATGTTCACTTCCCATGGTAGCATTATTGCAGATGATGGTAATTATGGATCCTGTGCAGGCCATCCACCTGGTCTTAGAGTGAGTGTTGTAAGCAAGCGATCTACTCCATAGTGTCGGATCTTTGCAACCCCGATACCATTCACTTACTACTTGCACGACTCATCCCCCCTGGATATCTAATATCGGACAGAAATAGCCACAGCGGCCCTTCCCAACATGGCCTCTGACCAATCCTCACCCAACTCTGCACACGGCTCATGGCTCTTCTATCCCATCTCTCTCGTCCAAACCGCCTGCAGCGCCTAATGCTTACACGCGCTTACGCAGCGTTACTAAGCCCCACTTCTGCGAGTCCCTCCCACCTTCTAGTTACTTAGATACTTTGCCATGTATGCCAAATTACTAGATGGTCTAGGTATCTCTGTAGCTACCCCGGGATTCCCAGCTCCTGCACAATTTCCAAGGTTAAAGCATTACTGCATGTCTTACCCCACTTTAATTAACCTTCCAAACCCGACTTATACAACATCTGCTTCCCCCGTTTCCTCAGAAAAACAAAAAGAAAAACAACACATTAAAAAGCCTGCCATTGCCTCTTACAAAATGAGAAAACACGCCGCCCCGTCATCACCGACCCTCCAAAGCGTGATGCCCTCCCTGCCCCCGACCCCCGACCGCGTATCTGAAGAAGCCAAGCCCATCCTCAACAGAGGCATGACCATCGCCGCCTTTGACGGCTCCTTTGCGCCGCTCGTGCGCCCAACCGTCCGCCGCAAGACACCGTGGTACAAAGACAGGGACTACTTCCTAGCCGGCTGGCTGAGCCCGGCCATCTGGAAGGCCGCCGTACGCTGAGATCCCCCCTGCTTTCTCCCAAAAGAAGACTGAAAACTCCATTGCTAAGGCAAGACCGGGACTCAAGGTCGTCGAAGCCATTGCCACCTCGTGCCTGGTCTATGTATCCCTCCTCGCCGTCTCTACGCTCGCCAGCTACAACACGCCCCGGATAGGCGGCTACATCGGCATATTCAACACCATCCTCCTCACCATCTTCATATATGCCACTAGTCCCGCCTCTGGCGGCCACATCAACCCCATGATTACCTTTTCGGCCATTCTGGCGGGGATATGCCCCCTTCCACGAGGTTCGGCCAAGGACCCCCCTTCTACCTCGTGTGGTATTATTGCCAGGCTAATCCGGCGACCGTAGGCGTCTTGTACATCTGCGGCCAATTGCTCGGCGCATCGCTGGCAGGCGGCATACTGACCGGCGTCTGGGGGGAAGACAAAGCAGCCAGGTACACTGGCCCCTCCCCCTTTGCCCTTTTTTTTTTCCCTTTTTCAAAACTGACACAATGGGGACAGCATCCACGGCGGAGGGTGTTTCTTCACCCCTTCCGTGACCTCGGCCGGCCAGGTCTTCCTCAACGAGGTCGCCGCCTCCTTTGTCATCCTGTACCTCTCGTACGGCGTGGGCCTGGACCCCCGACAGGCCGTCCTTTTCGGACCCCGGCTGGGGCCCTTGCTTGTCGGTGCTTCGCTGGGACTCGTTTCGTTTGCGAGCAGCGGCATTGCCGACGGCTACGGAGGCGCCCAGGCGAACCCTGCGCGGTGTTTTGCCGCCGCCATTGCGAGGAAGGACATGTCTTGTGAGTACTTTTTCTCTCTCTCTCTCTTCTGGTTGACATTTGAGACTGCAGAGGCTAATCTTTCGTCTGTTGAGACCAATGGATATGGTGGTTTGGTCCAGCTGTCGCAGGTGTCCTGTTGGCCGTCTTCTACAACACCATTCCACCTCATCATACTGATGATCAGCAACAAAAGGAGCGTCAGCACCAATCTAATGTATAATAATATTTTGACCATAAATCTACTGCTACTATATATAGACTTACAGCCGTCTCATTTACTTTTGAAATCCAGGGCATCACAAACCACGTAAAACAACCTACATCAACCCATAGCATCTCTAGGGCACATGTGTATGGTTTTGTAAAGTTTTGTCTTTTACTTGCTTTGGCTCTACTTCGTTACCGTCGGCCACTGGGGCCCTTTGGAGGGTCCCTCACCAACAGTCTAACCTTGCCGTCGCCAATCTCAACACCTTGACTCAGGATATCAACCTCTTCTTTCTCCTCCGCCGCCTCCGCCGCTGCCTCCCTCGCCAGGGACTTATCCCAGCTGCGTGCGTCAATGCCAAGAATGCCCCCCATGCTGTTTCTATCACCAGGTACAGAGAATTCGCGATATGCATACCGCCATTCGTTGAGAAAGCTGCGGATCGCCCTGCCGACCTTGTCTTTACCGTTTTTACTGTGATTTCCTGTGCCAGTGATAGCATAGACAGGCCGCGATTCTTTGCTGTTATCCATGAGAATCTTCTCCAAATATTCTACTGCTTCCTCTGGGTGAAGCCCGTGAAGGTCTACATAAATCTCGGCTGCGGTGCTCATATTCTTATTGCGATGCTCGTAAAGCTCTCGTGCTGCCTCTCTATGTGCTTTTCGCATCAATTCGTTTTCACTTTGTCCTCGCAGACTAAGAGCCTTGGCGGCTCTGGCATCGTTTCGGTTCCAGGCTTGAGCAGCACTGGCATTTCAATGTTAGAAGCATATTTTCAAGACCACATGCTGCTAGAAAATAAATACCTTTGCAAAAATTTATTGCGGAGGCCACCGTGCTTGATGGCCTCTTGGCGAGCCTTAAGGTACGCCTTGTTCACTCGATCACCGGTTTCCAGCCAAGGAATGTGTTTCGGGCTTTGGATAGCCTGGGCTGCTGCGCTATTCTCCCCATTCCTGTTGGCACCAGAGTTACCATTACCTAATCTTCTAGACTCAAGTCTGGGCGAACCGGGAGTGGGTGAGGGTGACATCTTGACAATGTCCGCCAGGGAGTTTGGGACAACATTTTCCTTGTGGTGTCCATGGCCACCACGCTTGCCATGGTGTTTCTTGCCCTGTTTCGCCGGAGCAGAGCCAAGGGACGGGAACGCCTCATTATCGTCAATAGCGGGAGCAGCAGTAGTAAAATCCTTGACCTGGTGGCGGCTACCGGGCCGGGAGCGCAACCGGGGACTCTCCGCGCCATGGTAGCTTCTGGGCCCTTGGGGCGGATTCAAGCCAGCAGCTATGAGGCTGGCACCCGCACCGCCAAAATTGTTGAAACTTTCTCCTCCATGCTGCAATGCAGGAAAAGATGCCATATCCTGCAGCGAAATATTGCCCTGACTCTTGCTCGTGCCGCTTGGGTCATCCAGAGAAAGCTTGTTCATAAATCTTGATGGATCATGAGAAAATACACAAAGGTCGCCGGCAAGACAATTGCCCATGATCCAATATCTACAAATACAGTTAGATTGTGAAATGCCATATTCTTGATTATACTTACTTGCAGAGATGGTTGCTCAGATCGTGGCTAAATCGACAGTCGGCTCGTAAACACTGGCCGGTGGACATGTAAAACTTGCAAATGACACTGCCTTTGGATTGACTATTGGGCGTAACTGGTCGTCCGTCTGAAGAAATCGACTTCCCGATCAACACGCTCTTAGGCTCATCCAGGCTATTCAGAGGGGGCCCTCCGTCTTGACTTTGGCTTTCCATGATGGACGCAATGGTAGCACTCAAATCGTAGCCGTGTGAGGCCAGCGCAGCCTCGATCTCCTCATCTGTTCTGGTTTGGCCCAGGATTGATCGGAGCATGTCGTAGGGAGACATGTCAATCTGTTGCGAGGACATGGATGAAAACTCCGGGGCGGCGGCATTCAAAAGACTGGGCGTGCCGACAGATGATGACGTGCTGGCAGCGTCGTCGTTGACTAGCCACTCCACATTCTCAGATTGATAATCGCCGAGAATCTCGGTCGCAGGGCTGGCATCGCTGGCGAATTCGTAAGCGTTCAGGCTTGGACTGTGAGGGATAACTGGTGTGGCTAGGGCCAGCCGGGGGGATGCTCGCGGCGAAGAGAACGGAGAGGCGGTAGATGACTTGGCCCTTTGGAAGGTTGAAGGGATGAAGCCTGGCGGAGCGAGAGGGCTCACGGCAAGTCTTGGAGAGCCGGATAATGGCGTCGGGGACCCGCGCCAGGAGGCCGGAGACGGTCGTCGCAGGATGGACGATCGTATCGGAGGGGGAGAAGCTGACGAGCCTCCTCCTTCTCGAAACCTCCACATTGCATCGAGAATTACATTTTCTAACGAGGAGCCAGTCAGGCTGGTCTCCTTCTTCAGAAGCTCCTCTAGCTTGTCTGTCTTGTCCTCATCTTCTAAAGTCGTGTCCTGCAGAATGGGCAGGCACAAATCGTAGTGTTCGTCCGAAACCATGATGATTGTGGCTCCTTCGACAAAAAGGGGCGTGCTTACAACGTTACGACGAGGGCTTGTTACGAAAGGGGGCGGTTCGGACAAGAAAGGTAGAGGCGATTCGATCCGTTGATGTACTAGTCGAATTTGCAAAACAAGGAAGGCACGACTCAGGTATGGCACGACAAATCGAGGGCAGACGTGTGGTCGGTGGCCAAGTCGAAATCAAGCGATGGATCAGCGCGCGTGAGCTTGAATACATGTAGTTTAGTAGGCAGTAATTGCAAAAACCAAGGTGGTTCGTGGGTTCGTACTCAGGTATGAGAGGGGTGTGCGAGATGAGATTGAGTTAGACCTGCAACCTCGAGGTTAAGAGCGACGCGTCCCAGGGGGGGGGGGGGGGGGATGGATGTAGCACCAGTGGCGAAATGCGGACTGATTTACGGGACAAAAAAAGCAAGACTCCAAGACAAAAAGCCAAAACACTGCAGATGAAGGAGAAAAAAAAAGTTGACAGATGAACCGCACTTCAGAGGGTGGAAAGCAACGCAGGACAACAAAGGCACAAGGTGGTGAAGAATCGAAGATGCCCAGAGGTCGGCCACCGGGGGGGTTGGTGGTGGTGGAGGTGACGAGTAAGGGATCCAGCTACTCCGTACCGGGATGGGGAGCTCACATTGCGCCGCGGCAACACAAGGCTCAGATAGGTCACGGATAAGCCGTCAAAGGCGCCCGGTAGCTAGGTCGGTGGACAAGAGACAGAGAATAACAGCAGTCGAACTGCGCGCATGCAGACTCCGAATGCGCCCGGCGTCAGTGCAGGAATCGGAGGTTAATGGGTAAAAGAAAGGACCGCGAGCGATGACGAGACGGCCGGAGTGGGTTTGGTTCAAGTGCTGCTTTGGCTGGGGGTTTGGGGGTTTGAAGGAGGGGGGTGGACATGGAGGCTTTGAGGCGCAAAGGAACATTGAGCGTTGAAGCATTGGCTTCTAGTTCCAACCAGCATCAATATTCGCTCCGATGTCCAGCTGAGGAGGACCTTTGTCCGGCCAAGTGCTACTTGACTTGACATGTACATGACACGGTACCTTCTTGTAGTACACACGGAGTTCCTCGGGAGTAATACTAGTGCTTCCCAATGTTGATCTGAGGCGACCACTGAGGCGACCACTCGGCGGCTTTGCAGCCTCGTCCCGCTGTGGAGACGATCCCTTGGCCTGTGCCAATTGACCTCAAACATGAGCCAGGCGTCGACTGGTGCTCCGTATCAAATCAAAATGGTCCGTGGTCCACTGGAGTTGACACCACCAGATTGTCTTGCATCGCTGGACCTCGCTGGACCTCGACCTGGCGCTTGGTTAGTGCCCGAAGAGATCAGAAGGGACCAGGACGCCTGTAAAAGTTATCTACCACTGCACGAACCAAGGCCGCCGTGCGTACTTAGCCATAAATTACAATCAAGATACCATCCCTCCCTTTATATGGCCACTGCTCAGTTCAAACACCATGTCAGGTTCGACGTCAGCTTCCCATCTACGGAATCTCGTCATCGTCATCCCCACCTCCGAACCCAAAGCTGAAGCCTCCTCCAGATCCATCCTCTTCCGTTTCCTTGCCAATGGCAGTATCCCATTTGCGCTTCTTCCCGCTCTTCCTGTCAGCTAGCTCAAGAGCCTTGTCCAGAATATCTGGATACTGCTGTCCCAATCTTTCCCTGAACAACTCAAACGGCTTTTCCACGTTGCGTTCAAACCCAGAAACCTGGTCAGCCTTGTCTCGCATAAATAGCAATACTTCGGACAGGAGGCTAAGGCTGGGGGACTGAGGAACAAAGTTCTGAGTCAAGGCAATCCCGTTTTCAAGGTTGACAACAAGATGCCACCATCCGCTCGGAACGTGCAGGATCTCGCCCGTGCTACATATGCCCTCGACGCATTCAGGCAGCCGCCTGGCTTCTTCGTGAAAGGTCAGGAGCCATTCAGCAATGCTGAGAGGACTTGTGACCTCGCTGCTGTCCTCCGACACGTACACACCGGGGACCTGAGCTGTCGGAGGGAACATGACCCAGTACTTGGACCCTTGGATGACTGCATTCCAAGCACTCGTGCCATTGGGGTCTTTGTGGAAGGTTGAGCCACTTCGCTCTGGTCCAATGATCAGCCATCGGTGCGCAGGGCGTTCGTCTCCGAGAACTTCGAACAGATCAGGGCCGAAACAGTCTGGCTTCCAGTAAGCCGTGCCATCTTGGTGACCGACAGTAATGCCCATTTTTTCTGCAAATTTGCGGTCGAAAAGATACAGCGGACTTTCATCCTTGTTGTCCCTCATATAGTTGCAATATCTCTCCATGGTCCAGTCGACTGCTTCCGCACGAAACTCAACGCCGGCGTATGCCCTGAGCAGCTCGTCTATAGTCCACTTGGAGCACACTGGCCAGTCCTGAATGCATTTGGTGAGAATAAAGGGCTTCTCAGTCCATCGTTCTGCATATTGTTCATATGTCAGATTCTCCATCCGGCGAATCTGGTTCGCTTTGGGGATGTTTTTCACAAAGTTTGACAAGTCAATGTTACTGCAAGCGAATGGCCTGTGCAACACGTCAGAAAAGACAT